AATCGCGCGCGGCGCGGCGCGTGAATCAGCCGGCCTCGCCCGTCAGACCGCCCGGACATTATTTCTGGATTGCAGAATGTGTCAGAAAACGTTTCCGCCTTTTTCTTGCGCAAGCGGTTCGGGAATTTTTCAAAAAGGAGCCCGGAAATTTTCAAAAAAACACAGTTTTGAGGGGTGGAATGCGCCCGCCGCGCAGGACATCTGAAGAATTCTGAAATCCGGAATTTTTCAAAATGGACTTTGGAATTTTTCAAAACCGGCCCCAGAAATTTTCAAAAACTGTTCTGGTATTGAAGTAGGCCGGACATGTTCAAAAACGTTCCCGGATTTGTTCATTTTTACCCCCTGGGACTTTTCCAGAGTCGCGCATGATTTGCCTTGCCAGGTCTTTGGGAATCCACCGAGGCGCGCGGTGCGCGGCGGCGGGCGATGGGACGGTGCGCCACCGCCCCCCCCGCGCTCGGCAACGAAAAGGGGGGTCAGCAACTGCCAAACAGCCCCTTACGGGCGACCACTCGATGGAGAATGGGTGGCCGACCAGCGGCGCCAGCCAGAGTAGACAATACTCGACGCAAAGTGTACCCCGCGCGAAGGTTTTTAGAAATCCCGGAATCTCCGGAACGTATCAATAGCACGTTGTGTCAATAGATTTTTCTCGTCCTAATATATAGATACAAAAGAAAATGAATGGAGGTGGGTGAGGAAAAGGACAAAGAAACGGAGGGCGAAGAGGAGGAGGAGGAGGAGGAGAAAGAGGAGGAGGAGGAGGAGGATGGCGACGAAGAAAACGACGAACACAACGAATACCAATGAACATTTTTATACGGATAGTAATAATACGAATATTCAAAGTCATAATACAACGCACAAAACTATTAACACGACGGATAGTACCAATGGCAGCGATAGTAATTAGACAAGTGCAAATAATGACATTGCTCATGCTAGTACCACTGATGAGGAATGGTGCTCATACTGATGGTAATGCCAATACCAATTCTAATACTTGGAATCGTAATGACATTAATCATAATGAACAAAAGAACAACACGAATGAACAATACTAGTGATATCAGCCAGCGTTGACTCCAAATTGATCGGAGGACAGAAGGAGGACGCGAGGAGGATGTGAGGGGGACGAAAGGAGGACGCGAGCAGGACGGGAGGAGGATGGGAGGAGCACCATCGAGCAAGCGCAAGCAAACAAACGGAAGCAAGCAGGCGCAAACGAGCATAGGCATATGCATACGCATAGGTATAGGCATAGGGATAGGCATAGGCATCGGCGTAGGCATAAGAGTTAGGGGGATGCATAGTCATAGGCATAGGCATAGGCATAGGCATCGGCGTAGGCACAGGAGTTAGGGGGAAGCATCGTCATATACATAGGCATCAGCATAGCCATAGGAATTAAGGGGATGGGGGGTGGGGGTGGGGCATAGGAATTAGGGGGGGGTCAACAAACCAACTAGTCGGGTTTGAGCTAGAACTCCTATAGGGCAAGCCTATTTGGAGAGTAACACGGAAAACTTGAACATGAACAGTATTACGAAACATGAATTATATACTACTACTAAGAATCATAACGCTAGTACTACCAAACACAGGGGGAGGAGGATGAGGTGGAGGAGGAGGAAACACAGGAGGAGGAGGAGAAGGAGAAGGATGAGGAGGACACTTAAGAGCAGTAGGAACTGGAGGAGGAAAACGCGGAGGAGGAATAGGACGAGGAAACGGAAGAGGAAGCGGGACAGGAAAAGGAGGAGGAGGAAGCGGAGGGGGATGAGGAGGACGAGGAGGAGGAGGAAGAGGAGGAGGAGAAGGAAGAGGAGGAAGAGGAGGAGGATGATGAGGGGGGGGTGGAGGAGGAAGCGGAGGAGGATGATGAGGAGGAATAATCACTATTATTATTATTCATAAGAAGAAGATGGGGAGGAGGAGCAGGAGGAGGAGGAGGATGAAGAGGAGGCGGAGGAGGAGGAGGAGGAAGAAGAGAAGGAGGCGGGGGAGGAGGAGGAGGCGATGGGGGAGGTATATTACCATCGCGATCAACATTACTAACAAAACGGTGCATTATCATCATACGTTTTTTTCTTCAGAAGGGCAACATTCATGATGCTACGATTCTAAAGCTAGTGATAAACATAGTGTCAATATGAGGAAAACACTACGAGTAGCATTAATACTCGTATGGTTACGAAGCGCACTAGGAGGACGTGTACTAATACGAATAGCACGAACCTGAAGTATTCATAAGCCATACAGTCATCTTGAGAAGGCGACTCGGGCTACGATCGCTAAGAGTAATATCAATACCACTCAGCATACGAATCCGAGCACTCATATCATACCTGATAGTAGTAGTAATCTTTATCGGGCTAACACTTGTATTCTGACTGCTATCATTAATGATGGTAACAATGTTAATGCTAATACTTAGTGCTGCTACTTACAACAACACTATCAATACTATGGGTATTAAACCTTAGAGTCATATGTGTGTTTTAGTTTTATCTGTAGTATAATTACATGTAAGAAGACGTACGGGTACTATCCATTTTGCGGGTAGAGATGGTCTATTAGGATTGCGAATCACATTCCCACGCACGGTGCTACTAACGATCACATGGGTATTGGTAACACTAGCAATGCCATGCTACTACTACTACTACTACTACTACTACTACTACTAATACTAGTGCTAGCACTAGTACTGGTAACGCCGGGAGTACAAATGATACTGTTAACAATTATACATACCACCACTAATAACACAGTAGTAATACGACTACGGATCAGACTACGACTCATAATAATCGCAATGCGAAGGAAGCTAGTATGCATACTACACGTAGCAATACTATCCTTTCTAATAATACACATACTAAGAAGACGACTTATCATCTTCACAATGCTAGTCATATACTGTTAAGAAGAGGATGATGATGAGCATGCGGAACAGGATGAGGAGGAGGTGGACAGAGGGGGATGATGATGATGTTGATGATGATGATGTTGATGATGATGATGCTGATGATGATGATGCTGATGATGATGATGATGATGATGATGATGGTGATGATGATGCTGATGATGATGATGATGCTGATGATGATGATGATGATGATGATGATGATGATGATGATGATGATGATGATGATGATGATGATGATGATGATGATGATGATGATGATGATGACGAGGAGGAAGTGTCGGAGGAGGAGGAGGAGGAGGAGGAGGAGGGAGGAGGAGGAGTAGGAGGAGGAGGAGGAGGAGGAGGAGTAGGAGGAGGAGGAGGAGGAGGAGGGGGGAGGAGGAGGGGAGGGAGGGAGGGGGGAGGAGGGAGGAGGGAGGGACGGAGGGAGGGAGGATGGAGGAGAGGAGGATGATGAGGAGGAGGAGGGAGGATGGGAGGAGGGAGGAGGGAGGAGGGAGGAGGGGAGGAGGAGGAGGGAGGAGGAGGAGGAGGAGGAGGAGGAGGAGGAGGAGGAGCTGGAGGAGGAGGTGGAGGAGGTGGAGGAGGAGGAGGAGGAATAATATTAGTAGTAGTAATAATAAGGATAATACTATTCATAATAATTTTCATAACAACGATCATACTAATACTAGTAATAATGATATTACTAATACTAGTAATAAGAATATTAATTATCATACTACATTGATAATACTATTGTAATAGTAGTATTAATAATACTAATAGTGCGAATAGGAAGAATACTATTACTAACAATAATAGTATCAATAATACTAATACTGATGCTACTTATAATACCACTACTCATACTAATACTAATAATATCATTAACATTACTATTATTCTTAGTAGTATTATTATTAATATTCATACCAATACTAATAGTAGTAATAATAATAATCATACTAATAATGATAATAATAATAAGAATGATAATCATACTAATAATAATACGAATAATACTAATAATACTAATACTACTAATAGTACTACTACTAATAATAATACTAGTAATAACAATTTTAGTAAGCAATAATCATGATGCTGATGATAATAATAATACTAATAATACTACTAATAATAATACGTTTCCTACTACTACTACTAATAATAATACTAATCATAATAGTAATAATAATAATAATGGTAATACTAATACTAATACTACTACTACTAATAATACTAATAATAATAACAATGATATACTACTACTACTACTACTAATAATAATAATAATACTCATAATAATAATAATAATAATACTATTATTATTGATAATAATAATACTAATAAAAATAATAATATTAATAATAATAAGACAATGAGGAGGAGGAAGAGGAGGAGGAGGAGGAGGAGGAGGAGGAGCAGAACATCAGGAGGGTAAGGTCGGTCACCCCCATGGGCGCGCACATAACCGTGCTCGCCACCTGGGTCAGAGATGTGCCCTTGTCAAAGGCGGCGGCGCGGTGGTTCGAACATAGCCTCTCATGGCGCATCACGGGTCGCGACTCGCGAAATTAACTGACCTCGATGCGGACGCCAGGCGAGGAGGGCGAGAAGGAACAGCAGTAGCATGGGCAGCATTGACATGGTCAGCAGCAGCAGCAGGAGCAGCAGGAGGAGGAGGAGGAGGAGGAGGAGGAGGAGGAGGAGGAGGAGCCGGGCCAAGGAGCGGCCTCGACCAGCAGCCGGGGGCGTGCCCCAGCGCGCCGCGGCCGCCGCGCCTTCGCCAGCGCTGAAGAAGCGGCCGGCGGCCCCGGCGGCGTTCGGCGCGAGCGCCGCCAGGCCGGTCGTGGAGCCGCTGGGCGCCCGGGCTGCGAGCGCGCCGCCGCCGCAGCCGCACGCCGCCCTCCGCCGCCCGCCGCCGCTCGCCGCCGCTCGCCACCCGCCGCCGCTCGCCACCCGCCGCCGCTCGCCGCCGCCGTCGTGGCAGCCGCGTGGTGCACGGCGACGACGGCGGCGCTCCGCAGGCACGCCGTCGCTGGGAGCGATGGCGCCGCTTCCCGCCTCGTCGCGCCTCCTCATGGCCACCGCCAGCATCCGGGGCAAGGGCGTGGACGAGGCGGGCCCGCCGCGGCCTCCATCTCCGCCGGCGTCGCAGCAGGGGCACTCGAGCTCGCCGGGCCCGTGGCGCCCCACAAGCCCGCGCAAGTCCTTCTTCCCGCGCCCCGAGCCCGTCAGCAGGGTCCCCGGCTTCGTGCCCGCATATACTAAGCCGGGGTCTGTGCCCATACATCCTGAGTCGCCGAGGTCGGCTGCGGCAAGGGCCAGGACGTCGGACGAGCCGAGCTCTGGAGAGGGGGCCGAGGAGGAGGGGGCAGCGGAGGAGGAGGAGAAGGAGGAGGGAGAAGAGGGTGCGCCGAAGAAAGCGGCACCGAAGAAGTTTATTTTCGGCGGGCGTGCTCCCGCGGTGCGCCTGGCGCCCGACCTGGTCCAGGAGGAGCGGCGCGCAAGGAAGCTGGCGGGGATGGAGACGGGCGCGCGGATGGTGAAGGCTCTCGTGAAGTCGGAACCGCGGCCAGAGGCCGTTCTGGTGCCAGAGGCGCACCTCGTCAAGGCGGTCTGCTCTGTCGAGCTGACGTGCCACGAGGTTTCGGTCTCGCCAGCGCGGCCACGGGTGGCGCTTGGAAAGA